CCCCCCCCCCCCCGCATTGGAAGGGCGTAGTCGTAACCACTGGACAGCCAGGGAAGTCCCAGGACCTCTTAGTCTGGATTCAGGAGTCCCTGCCAGCTGTGTGCCCAGCCCTGTTGGCCTGGGGATGCAGGAATGAACACTCTCTTGCCCCTGGGGAGCTCATACACTGTTAAAGATGATTATGGCAATAATTAGAGGGTTATACAGGGTGCTGTGGGAATGCATAAGATGCAGGCACTAACTCAGCCAAAGGTATGAAAAAACTGAAGAAGTTGGGAAACTAGCATTTGATCTGTATAACAGCATTTTGAGCTAGGTGATGACGTTCCATTTTACAGGAAAGGAACAAAGCTCAAAGAGGTATACTGATTTGCCCAAGATCTTGCTGCTAAGAATCAGCAACGTAGTGGAATCTGGTTCTCTAGATTTCTAGTCAAGAGCCCTTTACAGACAAGGACAGAGTACTTCCCACATGACCCCTGGGCCCGCCTCACTCATCTGGCATGGCCATGGTCTCACAGAGCAAGTAGCCACTCAGCAGGGGCAACAGCAGAACCCACAAAACAGACTGGACAGGGCTCAATGGTTATTCTATATTCCAAGTCCCACACACACCTCTCATAATTTTACCCAAGATTCCTGGTATATTAGACACTATTTATAACTGTAAGAAACTTAGGACTATCCTGGTGGTGCAGTGGTTAAGAATCTGCCTGTCAATGCAGGGGATACTGGTTCAAGCCCTGGTCCAGGAATATCCCACATGCCACAGAGCAGCTAAGCCCATGCGCCGCAACTACTGAGCCTGTGCTCTAGAGCCCAGGAGCCACAACTACTGAGCCTGCGCACCACAACTACTGAAGCCCACATGCCTAGAACCCATGCTCCGCAACAAGAGAAGCCACCGCAATGAGAAGCCCGTGCACCGCAACGAAGAATAGCCCCCACTCGCTGCAACTAGAGAAAGCCCACGCGCAGCAACAAAGACCCAACACAGCCAAAAATAAATAAAAGAAATAAAAGATAAACTCTAAAACAAAAAACATATACCAAAAAATAGGCCAAAAGCAGAGCACCAAAACTCAAAGAATATAGAAGAAGCAATATAGTGAATATAACAGAATCTAAGAAAATTCAACTCAAAGCTATATATAAGAGACTGTGTTATAATAAAGTGACCCAGAATGGCTGAAAATGAAAGGTCTAGAAGATAATGGTAATCACCTAAATCTGAATCTCTCCACATATCATCCCAGAAAAAACCACAAGACCAACAAGGACCAGAAATAACACCATCTATGACCAATGCCTTCAGCATTATTAGGAGACAAAACATACCACAAACTTCAAATGACCAGTGAGCAGAGAAACAACAAATTCTAACAGAGCTCCCACTGCTGCTGCAAGTCTGTGAGTACACAGAACAGAGAAAGGAAAGGCTTAAGAGACTGCATGAAAAATAAGAAAAAGAGATGAAAAATTTAAAGCACAGACAAAATCATCTTCAGAATTAGAATGTCCCACACCAAGTAGCCCCCACTCGCCACAACTAGAGAAAGCCCGCGCATAGCAACGAAGACCCAACGCAGCCAAAAAAAATTTTTAATTAAAAAAAAAAACTTAAAGCAGTTACCTAAAAAAGGAAATTTATTGATTCACCTAATGAAAAATCCTTGTACAGGGACGGCTTAGATTCAGGTTCTGACACCGTCATCAGGAGGAATTTAATCTCACTCTGCTTTCCTGGGTGGCCTCTTTCCGGGGCAGACTTTCTCCAGAAGGTGGAGATGGCCACTGGCAGCTTCAGGTTTATATCCTGATAGATTGGCAACTGCAGTGGAAAGAACATCTTTCTCTTGGTTCCAACAAAAAATTCTGGAATTGACTCATTAGCTGGTTTGGATCTGTTCCCATCCCTAAACCAATCGCTGCAGCTAGGGGAAATGGTGCTCTGATTTGGGGCCTGGGAAGGAGTATCCTCCACCTAAAACACATTGACTGAAAGAGGGAGAGATGTGCATCCCTAAAAGAAGGAAGTGTGGAGCTCCTTCTGTACTAGGGGAGAAGAGTGGATGTGGGTGAGAAAAAATAACTGTTGTCAGCCGTACTCAGTGCTTATCTTTACTTGACCATTTCTTTAATTTTTTGAGATACAGCATACATTCAGTAATGTGAGCCAATTTTTAGAGTACAGTTTGATGAGTATAGTGTATACACCTGGGCAGTCGCCCTCCAGATCAAGATATAAAACATTGTCAGTTCCCCAGAAGGTTGCCTTGTTTCCCTTCCTATTCAGTATCCCACAGAAATAAACACTGTCTTGACCTCTGTCACCATAGATTAGTTTTGCTTGCTCTTGAATTTTATAAAAAGGGACTCATACATACATCCACTTTTGCTCAATATTATGTCTGTGAGATTCATCCGTGTTGTGTGTATCAGAAGTTCATTTTTTTTTTTTTAAAGTTCATTTCAGGGACTTCCCTGGTGGCGCAGTGGTTAAGAATCTGCCTGCCAATGAAGGGACACGGGTTCGATCCCTGGTCCGGGAAGATCCCACATGCCGTGGAGCAACTAAGGCCGTGTGCCCCAATTACTGAGCCTGCACTCCAGGGCCCGTGAGCCACAACTACTGAGCCCACGTGCCACAACTACTGAAGCCCACGTGCTTAGAGCCCGTGCTCCGCAACAAGAGAAGCCACCACAACGAGAAGCCCGCACACCACAATGAAGACTAGCCCCCGCTCGCCGCAACTAGAGAAAGCCCGTGCACGGCAATGAAGACCCAGCGCAGCCAAAAAAAACAAAGAAATAAAAAAGTTCATTTCTTTCATGCTGTATAGTGTGCCATTATATGAATATACCACAATTTATCCACTCTACTGTTAATTGACAATTAGGTTGTTTCTAGTTTTGAACTATTATAAATAAAGCTATTGTAAAAAATTTTGTATGCGTCATTTGGTGTGCATGTGCACGCATATACCCAGGAGTGGAATTGCTGCATCATAGGGTAGGTATGTGTTTAGCTGGACTAGATAATGCTGAATACTTTTCCAAAGTGGTTCTACCAACTTACATTTCCACCTGCAATGTAGGAGAGTTTGTGCTCCACATCCTTGTCAGCACTCGGTATTGTTGATCTTTCTAATTTTGACCATTCTGGTGGCACCCAGGAATTTGAATCCAAGGGTCTTGTCTTCATATCAGGGCTCCTCTTACTCTGAGCACCCCTGAGATCAGGTTTGAATTTCTGTAGGCTGGAATGTTCTCCAGTGTGGCCCAAGACCCACAATACACAATCCAGAAGGTAAACATCAGAGGAAGCTCCTGCCCACGGTTCTGTGCCCAAGGGAGTTCTCACAGAGGGAAAGGCATCAGCCCTGGAGAGGCAGCCCAGTGCAGTGGCAAAGAACTCAGGTTCTGGAATGGGGCAGGCAGCCAAGGTTCAGACCCCAGCTCTGCCACTGCAGGGCTGTGTGATCTTGGTTAGTTGATCTGTGCCTCAGGGTAAAACATTAGTACTTACCTACCTTATAGGGTTATTGAGAGAATTAAAAGAATAGGTACATATGAAACAATTACAGTGACACATGAGAGATGCTATGTAAATGATGACTACTGTTTCTATCATTGGCCTGGGAAGGTAAGTCTATAGGCAGATGTCATCTGGCTCAGCCCCCTGTATTAAGACTCAGTGATTTATGAAATGCCAGAACCTAATTCAGTCTGATTGAGGGAGGAAAAAAGGCAACATGTTGACTAAAGGCAGTTCTTCCCTGGGCTCCAGCAAGAA